GACGCTCGCCCTCAGAGCCAATAGGAGGGCTGGAGGGCGGTGCCGAGGGCTGGGGTTCGCTCTTCTGGTTTAAACCGCGGCTGCGGGGCGGTTAACTGCGGCCTCGGCGCGTGGGCGGGCTGTGCGCCTGCGCGAGCTACCGGACGCTAACGGAACCCTGCGGAGCTGCGCTAGCAGGGCAGCGGGACTTGGTGCGGTGAGCGGACCTCGGCGGGGCAGGTAAGCGGACAGGGGCTGGAATAGGGAGCGAATGGGCCCAGGGGGGCCGGCTGCCCGCTGCTGTGGAGAGGTCGGGTTTTGAAAAGCGCGGAATGGGAGTTTCCCCCCTGGCGTGGCTGGGAAACCCCTGAGATCCTGCTGAACCCAGGTTTACTGCTCCCTTAGGCAGGTGTAAGCACTGTTGTGCTGTGCCCTTGGAGTGCCTGCGTCCCTAGAGGTCACTGTGGGCGCCCGCGGCGCGTCCGGCGTCCACTGCCTGCCTGGCGGCTGCAGCGGCACCCACGTCCCTGGCCCAGAGGGCGGCGGGGGCGGTGCCGCCGAGGGAGCCGGGTTCCCGGGAGGCCGCGAGCATCCGAGGCGACAGCCACGCCCGGGGCCAGGTGGGCACACGATTGTCTTTGTTGTTGTGCGGGGACCAGAGTCTTCCCAACCCCTGGTTACGCCCTTTGTGAACTTCTGGGTGTAACCGTGCGTGCACCTGTGTCCCTAATGAGTTAAGATAGCGTGGAAAATCGAAGAACTCTATAGTCCTACCCCAGATGAAAATACACCTTTTTTCCTGACTATAAAGTTATACAGCCCCATTGTTTTTAGAAATAAATCCAAGAAGTACGAACGTATAAAGAAAAAAAGGGAAGAAAATACTAGATATTCCATCGGCCTCAGATAACCGTAAAAAAAAGAAAACTTCATATTTGGGTTTCCTTCAGATATATTCGTTACGAATATATATTTGCATGATTATGCTTATAAAATATTTATATAATTGTATATTTTGAATATAATAAAGCATATTCATTTTAAAAGCACATTATGCCTTAGAATTTTCGGAACAGGTGTCTGTCAAATACCATTTTTAATGGATGTATGGTATTTCTTGCAGTTGCTGTACTGTACAGTGTATTATTTAACCAATGCCCTAATGATGGACAGCTGTTTTTTCAGTTTCTTCATTATAAAGTAGCATGATGGTGGTTACATGTATGTATACATGTTTGCATTCTTGTTCAGTTTATCTCCTTGGAGTAATTCTTGGAAGTGGATTATGGCTTAGAAATTGTAGTACAGTTTAAATTGTGATTCATAATGCTAAGCTGCCCTCTAGAAAAATTGATATCCTCCCACCCACCCACGCATACAGTGTAAGGGTGCTTATTTCTCCACCCTCTAACTGGCACTGGATATTGAAAAATCTTACCAATCTAAAAGGGTATCTTAATGTTTTTATTTGTGTTATTAATGAGATTAAACATCCTTTTCTATGTGTATTAGTCATTATTTCTTTGCTAAGTCATCTGTCTTTCCCCTATTCTGGTGTGTGTACCTTTTAATAGCTTTCTAAGAGGAATTTGAATTTGTGATTTTGAATCTGTTACAAGTGTTCCCCCCAGTTGGTTATTTCTTTGGATTATGGTTGCCTTTCATCAGTGTTTGTTTTGTTTTGTTCTGATGTTGTGGTTCTTTAAGCTGCATGCTTACCTCCTCAGAGTAGAGGAATTTATTGTAACTCTGCAGTAGCCCCCCTGTAATGGTTAGAATCCAACCACTATCCCAGTTTAAAATCCTCCCCTTCCACCCTTGAAACCCTTTCACTTGCAACTACTAAGCCTAGGACACTGAGTTGCTCCAGACTGTTGAAGAGAAGGTACTGTTGGGTATTTTGGTCAATATTATCAGAATCTAAAAAAAAAAAAAAAAAAAAATATTATCAGAATCTGCAAAATATAAGCTGCTCTAGCTTCTATGTGAAAGTTTCCCCCTAAGTAAAGGGAAAGGATTATCAGGCCTTTATATTAAAAAGAAAGAATAAACAGTTACCTGTCAGCCTTCCTAAAGTTTATATTTTGTTATTTACAAATAACCTATGTTCATACATTTAAGAAAAAGAATGGGAGTGTGCCGTAATTTAAATGCAAGGAAGATAACAGGTTAATCACTCTACAGTATAGTACATATGTCATGAAAAAATCTCTTTGGGCTTAGTGTTGGAGATCCTCCTAGCCCAGAGTCCTATTCCATTTCTGTCCCTGCTTTATTTTTTAGTAGGTAGTTTTGTATTGCATGAACATTGAAATAAATGGTGTAATACTGCTCACAAATCACCATTTTATTTATATATATGTATGTTACATATATATTACATGTTATATATTTATATATAACATGTATAATCTCATTTAAACTTCAACACCTATTGGAATAATTCCATTTTTCCAATGAAGAAAGGAAGATCTAAGGCCTATTTCTAACAGTTATTAGTCCATACCTTGAGTCAAAAGCTGAAATTTATAACAAATATTACCTCAGATAACTTAGGTACTTTTGCAGAGTTACATTTTGGGATTCATCATTGCTTCATCTGTGATGATTGTCCTGAGTTTATCTATAGTAACATGTTATCAAAAAATATTATCACTAAATGCTTATTCTACTAGATTTGATAGTATGGTCTAGTTAACCTTGAAAGGATTTTACTTAAGATATAAGACCTTGATCTTCTAATTCCTTTGCTTCTGTAGAATCTCCAAAGCATGGCTTTTTAGTTAGTGTTTTTTGTCCCCTGTATCATTTCTTCAGAGTTGATGGTTTTTATTTTTATTTTTTTTAAGATTTTATTTATTCATTTGACAGAGAGCACAAGCAAGGGGAGTAGCAGGCAGAGGGAGAGGGAGAAGCAGGCTGCCCGACGTGGGGCTCGATCCCGGGATTCCGGGATCATGACCAGAGCTGAAGGCAGTCGCCCAACTGGCTGAGCCACCCAGGCGCCCCTAGAGTTGATGTTTTTTAAATAGTGATTTCACAAACTCCGTTCTCTTTCCAGGTTTTTCTTTAACTCGAAAACTAAGGGCAGTGGAGGTACACTGAAATAAGGTAGGAAGTTGAAAAAAATGAAATGTTTTGGTTTGTCCTTACATCAAAATTAAAGGAGAAAGCAATATTTTAAGAACATTCAGGGCATTATGAAATGTTGGCACATCAGGTTCCAAAAACCAATGACTTGATTCAAAATCCAGATGACCTGGATTGTGCCAATTGGCTAGTAAGAATAAACCTTAGTTATTTTGTACCACAATTTTTCCATCTCTAAAATGAGAATCTTTCCCAGTTCCTGCTCTGCTAGAATGTAAAAGCTATTATGTGTCGTCTTCAGTACTACAAGATCACTTGACTTTTCTTACACTGTTTTACATCCTAAACCTGGAACTTTTTCAGTTAAGTCTTGTTTCTGTGGCCCACCCACTACTAAGCTTCTGTGGAACTTAACACAGTCTGTTTACTCTGTATGTTAATATTGTTTGTAATTATCTTGTATGTTGTCTTAGCCAGCAGCTTGAGGATATAAACCATATTTGTATCCCTGGGGTTTTGAACCTAAGTAGGAACAAACTGTTTGTTGATTGGTAAGTAAAACTTTGAATCTCAAACATACAGTATAATTATTTCATAACTGTACAGAAGTATTACACTCTGCAGTGATGAAAATTGTTATTGAGGCAAAAGGTCTGAGTTCACTTGATGTTTATTATTTTAATGGCTATAAGAGCTAATATATCATTTTAAAAGAATTTTGAACTCTTTTGAGTAAATATTGGTGTTAATAGTATTTTGAGGGTTACTTATCATCTTTGAGAATAAAGCCCCACCTTATTTTCCTGACCCTTGTGTCTCAGATGTGCTTAAGTCTGAAACCTAGGTGTTATCCTGAAAGCCTCCCTACTTTTGAACCTCACATTCATTCAACCATAAAACCCTGTTGCTTCTCCTTTCTTAATTTCAAATTCATCTACTTCTTTCCATCCCCCTTACTACAAATCTAGTCTAGGCCATCATCATCTAATTCTTCAATTATTCTAACAGCCTCCTAACTGGTCCCACTATCTTGCCCTCTTCCAGTCCACACCATACCCACAGCAGTATTTTTGCTACACAGTCCTGGCCTGTATTTTTTTTTTCAGTGGCCTCTCAAGATAAAATGTAAGCTTTTTAAGAAGGCCTACAGGACTCTACAAACATGATCCTTGCTTCCTTTTCTAAACTATGCTCTTGTCAATGTCAAGCTGTACTCCTGTATTTACAGTTACCTGCAGGTAAATCTCTCACGCTTTATACAAACTGCATCTTCTGCCTTGGACACACTTAAAGTTCTTCTTTATCCCCACTTTAACTGGCTCCTACTTGTGCAAGATTTAGCTTGGAAATCTCTTTGTAAGAATTTTCCCTAAACCACTACACCAGGGGGTGGTAAACTCCATGGCCTATTTTTATATGGCCTATGAACTAAGCTAAGAATGTTTTTTTTTACATATGTAAAAAGGTTGTGAAGAAGAAAAAGATAGGGGCATCTGGGTGGCTCAGTCAGTTAAGCATCTGCCTTTGACTCAGGTCATGATCCAGGGTCCTAGGATCCGAGTCCCGAATTGGGCTCCCTGCTCAAGGTGGGAGTCTGCTTCTCCCTCTCCCCCTTCCCGCTGCTCGTGCTCTCTCTCTCAAATAAATAAAATCTATATATAAAAAAAAAAAGACTGTGTAACCAAGACCATTTGTGGCTCACAGCACTAGACTGATAAGCTTTTTAAGAGATGCTGTGCTTTTATTCAGTTAGGTCACTTTCAGGTAGTGTGCCTTTCATAAAGCAATGTACGAAATATTTAACTGACTAAATTTCTTATTTTTAATTTCTCTCTTAAAAAATAAGACACTCAGGCAAAGCTCTTTGGAGAATTCAGATGAGTAATGAGTATCTCATTTGCTTTTTAAAAAGACAGCATAACAAATTAGACACTTGCAGAAGCAGGCTTTAATGAATTTGAACACAAGGCACAGGTTTCCATGTGTATGTAAACTCCTCTGCATTTCACAGTTGCTTCTTGCTTCTTCGATCTCTTAATCCTTTTGGGGAAGGAATGAGAATGTTTGAACTCTTATTCAAGCTAGAACTTCCTTTATAGGGCTTAATGGTCTTTGGGTTTGGGGGGGTGGTATTTTGTTTTGTTTTTTCAAAGAACCGATCATCTGAATTTTAGGACTTCTTGAAGTACATATTATCTTGTATTTCTTTTTTATTCACCTACCACTAGCTAGTTGTTGCCTCCTAGATCCTGTTATGGTTAACTGATGCTTTTAATTTCGGGATCAACACAGACTCTCTTTGTTGGTTTCTCCAAAAGAGTATTTTCTTCCTCCATTGTATCATTACAGTCCCTTTTGGCTTTTGTTTCTTCCTCATGGAATAAATGTGGGTGCTCGATGCGTCCCCTACGTACAAAATGCTGGATCCGGGATTCTAATCCTTGGCATTTAGGACGATCCATGAGGGGTTTATATGTGCGCATTTTCACTCCCTCTACAAAGGCACTGGTCTGCTTTATGACAGAAGGCTTAACATTTCTCCATTCTATCACTCCATCCATCTTTGGTCCTATAATATATACAATCAGATATTACATGGATGCTTTACCACAACAGAATCACCTCCAAACTTTATATAAATCTACCTCTCCCCATGCCCCATATAACTTTGGTTCTAGTAAATAATTGTATCCTAGGATTCTCCTGTCATACCTGTCCCACAGGGTACTGCAACGGAGTCCAGTCCTTGTAGCATGCTATACAACATGTGTGTTTTAACAGCATGATTAGCCCATAGTTGTTGTAGATGGGTAACATTGAACTCCTGAACCTCCCGGTCATAAATCCACTTGATATTTTCAAACTTACAATCATACAAGACTAGAGGAAATTCTACGGCCATACTAGAGAGAAAAAGAGACAAGAAACAGTATGAAAATACACAGCAGCCATCCAACAGCCTTGTATTTTAAGAACAAGGTGGGGGGAGGGTAGGTAATTGGGTTAAAAGGAGGGGAAAACTTTGTCAGTATTGAGTAACAGATTAAGAAAATAAAAAAAGATCCCTAACCTTGAACAACTTTATAATTAAAAGAAAAAAAAAAAACAAAAACAAACCATGGATCAACTAGTTAGGCTTGATCAAAAGAGGGTAAATTTCAGTGGTAACAGGTCACCTAGAAGTGAGCTGACTTGTCTCACCCATAATGCTATAAAATTATTTTTTATATTTTTCCAAACTTGTTAATTTTGTATGGTATGAAATAAAAACTAGATTTCATTGCTTAGGAATGAATTGTTGGTTTATCTGACCTCAGCCTCCTCTCAAAAGAAAAGTCTGACTATTCTTCCCATCTTTCCTACCATTTCAGACACTGAAAATTAGGAAAAATTCAAAAGTACAATAGTATGACTACCCAATAATATAAAGCAAGGAAGATTTAATATGAATAGTTTGCTCACTTTTAAACTTCACCTAACAGAACTTCACAATAATACCTCTCAACATAAATTCAGGGGAAAAAAAATTTAGAAATGAAGGTTATTTTATTTAAGGGGCCTGGTCCAAACACTTATTTCTTACTAATGGGACAGAACGAGAGAAGAAAAAGATAGCCCTCCTACATGTTCATAACATTCTACAAGAGAGATTAAATTCTTCATGAAGACAAAATAAGTGACCTAGTTAATCAGACAATTGTTGGGAAAGGAAGATATGTTAACCTTCAGTTATTTAAAATATTTAATATATTTAAAAATATTCTAAAGGCAACACTTGTTTTTTTGTTTTGTTTTTAACTTACCTGTATTGAGGTTTCTGGGGGTTTTTCTCTATGTTCAGCAGCTCATCAATAATCTCTGGCTTCTCCATTCCTTGGCCAATCAGAAAAAGGATAGCCATCATACAGCGGACTTGATGATAAAGGAATGCCTGGCCAGTCACTTCAAACTGACATAACTGGAAAGGTTCTTGCCATCTCTCATTATCCAGGCTCTGGCCCACTAGCTGTACTTGAGCAGACAGAATAGTCCTCTGAAAATTAATGACTCCATTGGCTACATCCATTTTACATAAGTTCCTAAAATCATGTGTGCCAACATACTTCTGAGCTGCATAGTTCATGGTTACAATGTCTAAATCAGCACGAGGGAAAAAATAGCGGTAAGTCCGCTCCAGACAGCTGAATCTAGCACTGAAGCTAGGTTCCACAGGGGCCCAGGCCAGTACACGGATGTCTGGAGGGAGTACCCGATTGAGAATGTGGGTGTAACGAATCTCTTTAGCAGCATCGTTGATTTCATCTTTTACATTAAAATCCTCTGAAGTCCTGCCCTTCAGAAAGTGAGAACGAAGGTCGAGAGAAATCACCTGTGGAATTAAAAAGAGATGTTTGTTTTGGAGACACAATCTGAACTCTTAATATGTACACCTAGAATATGTTGGTATTGCTTACTTTGAGAAAGAGTATAGTGGCCCTTACCTGTCCAAAGGCACTGACTCCTTTGTCTGTTCGCCCACACCGGTGATAGTTGGATGTCTGTCTGCTTTCTACTAGTCGAGTCTTGGTTAGAGCCTCAAACAGTTTCTCTTCAATTGTATTGTTTGTGTTTTCCTGACTGGCAAAGCCCTGGTATCCCCAGCCCAGATAGGCTATCTTTAGGGCTACATGTCTTCGACCATGAGCACTGAAATCAAATGCACGCTTAGCTTTTCCAGCTCCTAAAGAATTTTCTCTAACATGTGAGTCTTTGTTGTTGGCCTGTTCTTTTTTAAGTCTTTGTACCTCCTGCTCCAGTTCTTGTACTCTTTTTAGGAGTTTCTCAGTCTGGATTCTATCTATGTCATTTTCAGCCATAATAAGACAACCAACCCCAGGAATAAAGGAATCATATAGGTCCACTCGACCTGAAAAGAGAGTAAAAGGATAAAACAGTTTCAATGTGGATTACTTTGGTGATGTCAGTATCATTCCATTATGTGCAAATAGCACCTAAGATTTAATTTAATGCCTAAAGGATATATTTTGCTTCTGTCCAGGGAGACAAGCATTAGCCTAATTGTTATGGGTTGATCATCCACAGATACTCTTCTTTTCCATCCTGTCTGGCCAGTTCACAGGGGAAGAGGAGGGGGGGAATAAGAAAGAGGTAGCATCGTTAAAGTTTAATCAGGGAAAATGTAGATCCCATTTCTCTCTTCTTCATTAGCTGAGATGATTTAAGGACTGATGTTACTGATATTTCTTCATTAAAACATTTCTTTTTGACTTTCCATTACACTTGTCCAATCTTTTTAATCATAAAATCTGTTCATATAGTATGTATGTGTCTATTCTTTTTCTAATTTTCCAGTATTTCAGATAAAATTAGTGGCTTGTATGTTCTAACATCTAACACTCAGCTCTGTCTTAAAGGTGCTACAGTAGAGACTAGCCTGATTGATGAAACTTATGATTGTACTTCATATTGGAAATAGAGCCTGAAGTCGAGATTTTCCAATTCTAAGCAGTTTTGATGGCAGAAAAAAGGTAATTAAGCATCACGATCCTTTTTTTAAGTCAAATTTATGTTCTGTACCTCTAGCAGTTAGAAGAGTCAGTCAGGAAAATGTAATTAAGATGTTGACATTCCTGTAGTACAAGTGTACTACATCCTTAAAATTGGGACAGTGCTAGACAATCTGTGACTGACGGTCACTTTAGTTATGGATCGTCTCCAAATCTCTTCTAAGGCCATGTTATCTAGTTCTTGGTAGCTCATTTAGTTTTTGGCCTTTGAGAGTTTCTTATATCTATGATAGATTAAAAGTTTAAATACAAAAAAAATGAAACTATAAAAGTACTAGAAGAAAACCTTTTTTATAGTCTTAGAATGGGAAGGACATTTCTAAGTAAGATCCTGTAGAATTGCAGAAACTGTAGACAACCAAAAATGTGACTACCTGAAATTGAAAGTTGTACCAGCAAAAAATAAAATCAGAAGGTAAAAAACAAACTTGGAAGAAAAATAATTATGGCAAAGGGCTAATCTGCTTAATTAAGAAGTATTTTATGAGTATATACATTAGTTTTAATTTAAGGATCAAAAAGAAAAAATCCAACAACCTGAGAGGTAAATGGGAAAGGAAAAGCATTTCATACAAAAAGGGGAAAAAAAGCTTATAAAAATGTATGAAAAGTTGGTCAGGTCTACTCAATTTAAATGCCATTCAGATGAGAACTATTTTTTACCAAACTGACTGCAGAGAAGGTTCACTAGTGCACCACTTTGGAGAGGGAATGAAGAAACAGGCTCTGGAAGATGCCATCAGTACAGCTTCTTCAGAGGGCATTTGACAACAGCCAGCAAATTGAGCACACACATCTTTTGGCCCACCTACTCCATTTCTAGAAATTTTAAAGAGTTTATTTATTTGAGACAGCGCACCCATGCACGCTCTCGCAAGTGGAAGGGAGGAGGGAGAGGGACAAGCAGACTCTGCGCTGAGCATGGAGCTCAACGTGGGGCTTGATCTCACAACCCATGAGATCATGACCTGAGCCAAAATCAAGAGTAGGATGCTTAGCCAACTGAGCCACCCAGTCGCCCCTCTATGTTTAAGTAATTTTAATACATCTTCAGTTGCCAGGCTGAGTTCATCCCACTACCCTGTCACTGAAATAAATTTTAGAACCCAAATCAACCAAATACCCAGTGCTAGTTTCCTGACTGGATCTAGGATAGTTAACTACTGCCCACTATTTCCTATATCCCTACAATTTTTATTTTCTTTTGTTTTTTTGTTTTTAAAGGATTTTTATATCCTATAGTTTTTCTTTTTAAACTGAAAAACTAGTACATGCACATGGTAATTTACACATACGCTTGCACAAGTACGAAAAACTTAAGAGATACTCATTGTAACGTTGATTTTAACAAGACTGTAACCTAAATTAAATCAGGGACTGAATGAATAAATGATGGTGTATCCATACGTCAGAATTCTGTGCAACTTTAAACAAAATGAAGGAAGTCTACATGTGCTGATAGAGCTGGATTGCCAAGACTGTCTTTAAGGTTCAGAAGAGTTGTATAATATGCTCCTTTATGGTATAAAAATGTACATGTGAGGGCTGCCTGGGTGGCTCAGTCGTTAAGCGTCTGCCTTCGGCTCAGGTCATGATCCCAGGTCCTGGGATCCAGCCCCACATCCAGCTCCCTGCTCCGCGGGAAGCCTGCTTCTCCCTCTCCCCCTGCTTGTGTTCCCTCTCTCGCTGTGTCTCTGTCAAATAAATAAATAAAATCTTAAAAAAAAATGAGTATGGAAAGATTACTAGAGAAAGCATAAGAAACTGCCTTTGAGAGTGAGACTTGGTAAGGGGAAGGGAGATCCTTACTTAAAATTACATGTGCGGGACAATGTAGGGAATAAAGTCAGTGGTATTGTGATAATAGCGTTTTATGGTGAGATTGCAGCTCTACTTGTGAGCTTAGCATAACGTTGTCAAATGTACACCTGAAACTAATGTAACATTTTATGTCAACTATATTTTATTTTTAAAAAATTACCATGTGCATGTACTAAGGATATAAAAATCCTTTAAAAACAAAAAAACAAAAGAAAATAAAAATTGTAGGGATATAGGAAATAGTGGGCAGTAGTTAACTATCCTAGATCCAGTCAGGAAACTAGCACTGGGTATTTGGTTGATTTGGGTTCTAAAATTTATTTCAGTGACAGGGTAGTGGGATGAACTCAGCCTGGCAACTGAAGATGTATTAAAATTACTTAAACATAGAGGGGCGACTGGGTGGCTCAGTTGGCTAAGCATCCTACTCTTGATTTTGGCTCAGGTCATGATCTCATGGGTTGTGAGATCAAGCCCCACGTTGAGCTCCATGCTCAGCGCAGAGTCTGCTTGTCCCTCTCCCTCCTCCCTTCCACTTGCGAGAGCGTGCATGGGTGCGCTGTCTCAAATAAATAAAATCTTTAACAAAAAATTTCTTAAGCATAGGAGTGTTTTTATGTATATCACTGCTTTTGTGATGGTTTTGGATTATGTCACTCATAGTTAAAAGCAAGGACTCTGAAGACAGACTGCCTGAGTTAGACTTCCAACTGCACCCCTTACTAGCTATGTAACCTTGTGCTATTTAATCTCTTTATGCCCCATGTTACTCATCTTTTGAAAGTAGATAATAAGAGCACCAGTTCCTCACAGGTGAGGATTACATGAATTAATAAATGTTAAGCACATAGAACAATGCTGGATATATAAAGTGCCCCCCAAAGTGTAAGTTGTATAATGTCTATTAAGCATTATGCCCCATATCATGTAGTCGCAAGTTTTTGTGGTTTTTTTAAGATTTTAATGAGAGAAAGAGAGCGTGAGCAGGGAGGTGGGTGTGGGTACGGAGATAGAGAATCTCAAGCTGACTCCGTGTGGACGCAGGGCCTGCCTGATCTCACGACCCATGAGATCATGACCTGAGCCAAAACCCAAGAGTCAAACACTTAACCAACTGAGCCACCCAGGTGCCCCAAGTCACAAGCTTTTATAATGCCAGAACTCACCTGTCCTGTCCTAGGAGCCACTAAAGGTAGCAGGAACTATCAGGCATTAGAAAGTGGGAGCAAATAAGAGGAGAGTGGAGATGAAAGCAAATGATGGCTTCTCTGGAGCTGAGTAAATGCTCCTCCAAACTGCTACCATATTACCCTGTACTATAATCTGTATTTTATAACTATTAGTTTGATTGCCTTGGCCATTCTTTCTTCATCTGACTACAATAAAGTAGGGAATGAACAATTTAAGAACTGGGAATTACCAGAAATCTGATCATTATTTTTTCTTGCAGAAGGTCCTACAGTGGAGGGGAAGCAATGGAGGAACTCATGGGACCCAATGTACAAAAATGGGCCAATGTAGATCCAGAAGAACGAATGTTGGCAGCCGCTACAGCTTTTACTCGTATCTGTGCAGGGCAGGGTGAGGGAGATGTCAGGAGAGATGCCCAGCCTATCCAGTATGATCCCTACAGTAAAGCTTCAGTAACTGCAGGAAAGCGACCTGCTCTTCCTGTGCAAATGCAGTACCCACATGTAGAAAGTAATGCCGCTTCAGAAACAGTCTCCGAGGTGTCCCAAAGACTCCGAAAGCCAGTGATGAAGAGAAAGGTGTTGCGCAAGAAGCCAGGTGGGGAAGTATTAGTGACCGATGAGTCGATTATCAGTGAATCAGAGTCTGGTACAGAGAGTGATATGGATCTCTGGGACTTAAGACAAAGGCTCATGAGTCTACAATTCCACGAAGACAGGGAATCCCCAGATGACATTTCACGAAAATTTAACTTACCACATGAATACCAAGGAATTTCTCAAGATCAACTCATTTGCTATCTACGAAGAGAAGGAATGGGCCCTCCGGCTTATGAACAAGACCTGATTGTTGCCAGCCGACCCAAGTCCTTTATTCTCCCAAGGCTGGACCAGCTGAGCAGAAATCGAGGCAAGGTAGACCGGGTAGCCCGATATTTTGAGTACAAACGAGACTGGGACTCAATGAGGTTACCTGGTGAAGATCACAGAAAGGAATTACGCTGGGGTGTCCGAGAGCAGATGCTTTCTCGACCAGAACCCCAGTCCAAGCCTCAGCACATATATGTTCCAAACAATTACTTGGTGCCAACTGAGAAGAAAAGATCTGCCCTTCGTTGGGGTGTTCGCTGTGACCTTGCAAATGGTGTCATGCCCAGGAAGCTTCCCTTCCCTCTTTTTCCTTCTTAAATATTTTTTTTTGCCTCTTTTATGGGATTGTTTGGGGGTAACCTGGTTCTTTATCTCTGTCCTTCTATTTAAATAGAAACAACTAACTTGAAAGCCCATGGAACATTATACAGTAAGGACTTCACCCATCATTGGTCTTTCCTAGGTGTGTACATTGGTATCAAATACCACTTCACTTCCAAATTACCACTCTCAAATCCACTAATTGCAAGAGAAGTCATGCCAAAGAAAGAAAAACAGACCTAGTCTTTCCACTTTGTCAGATAGCACCGTTTCCGTTCTATACTGTTTTTAACCTTTGGCCAACGTGAGTTGCTGTTTTTAAAGTTGCTGGGCATTAAGCTTATTCATTAAAGAATTGGGATTTTGTGAACTTGATCTTATTTTTACTTACTAATACTTCCCAAAGTAAGATGATCGCAAAACTGGGTTATGACTCTGCCTCCAATCATTACTCCCCATCACACTAAATATTGAGAGCCAAAGGAAAGGAACAAAAAACTGTTCTTTATGCACACAATCCTAAAGGAACAAAGAAAAGTAACAACATATCTCCATTACTAAAGGAACATAGTAAATCTAGAAAATTTAAATGTTTTTTAATAGGCAATAACAGTATTATATGACATACAGGATTCTAACCCAAGTTTTATTTCAGAATTACTTCAATAATTTATTGCCCTCCAGTTGTCACTTCTAGAATACCATGCTTTTTATAATTTGCCACTGAGATTTTCTTGGAAATTATGCCTGTCACTCTGAAAAAGAATTTACTAAATCTGGAACTAGATGTAGACACAAATACCAAAATGAACATGGCATATTTGGGTACGGACCAAAACACTAATTCTGTTCACCTTAAACTGGTTCTATTCTTGATGCTTCTAATCCAGTGAGGATTATCTAAAATCTGGAGGTTGTGTTTTAGCATCTGAAGCCAGCAGAAATAGTTTGCTTGTTCAAGGGAAAATAGCTATGCAATGTATAAATGAGTTACTTTGACCATTACTATCTGCTAAAATATATCTTCTGCGTAATATTTAAGCTACATCATTCATCCAGTTCCACTGTGAGACATTTTTCAGGAAAGAAATAATCACTGACTCAAATATAGATGTAGGATCTGCTCACTGCAAATAAGTAAAAACTGCAAACTATCCAACAATAGTGAAATGATTAAATGGAATATCAGTCATTGAAAATAATGGGAAGCTAATGAAAAAGTGCAAATTAAATGAAACAGGTTGTGAACTACACGATCACAGTCATGTGCACATACAAAGCACAAGGAAAAATCAAACTGTAGTGGGATTAAAGGTAGTTTTTATACTTTTAAAAAACTTAAAAACCACATGGCATTTTTATATGCAAATTACACCAAAGACTTAACTCCTTTAGATTATCTCAAAGCCCAATAATTAACCAAGACAAAAAGTTTCCAGAGATTATCTACCTTATTAACCAAAGAACTAGTCCAAAGGGTTTAAGCAAGTAAAGATTTGTGGCAAAAAGAGGACTTGAGCCCAAGACTCGTGACCCAGTAGAGCTTCCTCCAGCACACCACAGCACACCCTAAGCTGACCTACCGCTTGGAAAGGGGCTGCCAAATTACCACAACGAGGGAATTGGTGTGTGCGCTGAGCATCGACTGTAAACATAATCAGCTATCGCTAGAGTTTCAATACATTTTTTGAAGTTAAAAGATCTAAATCTCAAAATATTTGCAACTAGGGGAGTAGGAGAACGCATTTTCCATGATAAACCTTATTTTAAACCAAAGAGAGAAGGAGGAGGAATAGCCATAAGGATCAAGAGACATGCACTATGACCAGTAACAGTGAAAAGCAATCTCCTAATTTGAAAAAAGTCGCCTCGCCTCCCTCCCCACATACTACTGGAATCCTGACCTCTACCGGTATTTAGTTTTATGAGCAAACAATTCTGAGGCAGCCGACTTAACTCCAAGTCCAAGGGCCCTCTAAAAATTGAATTAAAGAAGTTTCTACTGCTGTGAGTTTCTGCCAGGAGCTGCAAAAAGCACCAGATACAAAAACACTGTCCTAAGCAAGATCCCACTTCCACCCATCAATGCTTTGAAGACCAAGGTATGGAAAAGGGGAAAAAAAGGTCCAGCTGTTTGTCCATTTATCCGTTCCTCTTTGTATAAACCAGAAAATAATTCATCCCCGAATCCCCTTACTTACCTTCCGGTTGTCGACCACGCAGCTTTTAGCGAGACAGGAAGCTGTCGCTTTGCGTCTTCCGCGCGCGCGCGCGCCCACGGTCTCATGGGAAGTGTAGTCCACCCTTGTGGGAAATGTAGTTCCAAGAGACGGAGGTGCAGGCTTGACGCTGAAATCTGCCTAATATTTTCTAGTCTGGCCACCACTTCTCCACCTCCGACAAAGCAGAATCTGGGGCCTATAATAATACAAGAATAAAGGATAAATTCTAGTGCGACAAAATAACGGAAAAGCAGTTTTTCAAATGTCTGCTGTCCTTATATGAAATTAACATTAAAGAACCTGGACCGATTTTATACCTACTTAAGTAACTAGAAAGTTATCATTGCGAGACAAATACATTTGCTGTTAGAATCCACATGTGAAGTTTGAAAAGGAATTTGATAACCTCAAAACAAACGATTGAGGTGCCTGAGAATGACCGAACAGAGCTGGGGAGTCTTGCTTCAGCACCACGGAGAGATCATAACTAGGTTTTTGGTTTGTGGGTTTTTGCATAGATGCTGATCTAAATCTCAAGATTCCAGTTAGAAAACTGAAAGAAATCTAGTTCTGTCCAAATTTAGCAGTCAGTAGTACAAGGAATCTATGTCAGATTATGCAGATACGGGTAGGAGGTAGAGGTTGTACCGCAAGGAAAACCGTTATCTCAGGATTGCATTAGCAAAGGGCATGTACCAGCATTAAAATTAAAACAAGCCGGTATGTGGAAACATAACAGGTATTAGAACAGGGGCAACAGTTAGAACCTGAACAACTTTACTTCCTCTTCGCATCTTTCTCATTTGAATTAGTCAGGTGAAACTCACCCATTTTGACCCTCTACTTTCCTATGAAATTCTCTGGTCTTTCTGACATCTAGTAATGTAGAAGCGGATATTTTGGGGAAACATGGGCAGGAGTGCTTGAAGCCACCGGGGGGGGGGGCG